AACCCTCAGCCAAACACTTTTAGGTTAACCCCAGAGGTGTAACACACCTAAAGAGCAACAAGTTATGTTTCAAGTGTGGAGAGAAGTACTACCCAGGACACAACTGTAAGGCTAAGCAATTGAATTGCATGAGCGGTGAAGAAGAGGCCATACAGCCAGATGAAATATAGGTACCTGAACCACCAGATCTTATCATTGAAGGAGAGATACAACAGGAGGTTATGGAGGCCATATGTTTGAGTGCCTTGACTGGCAGTAGCCTGGGAGTAAATGTTATATTGGTAAAAGGATTTGTCAGGAATAGGACACCGGCGGTGTTGATTGATTCTGGTAGCACTCACAGCTTCATAGACGAACAAGCCGTTGATGACGCTGGTTGTGTGGCTGAGTATAGCCCTCCTATGAGGGTCACTATTGTTGATGGGAATTATGTGATATGTCATACTAGTTGTCTGGTTTTAGTTAGAAAATGGAAGGAAAAGCCTTGAAGGAGCATCTGAGAATAATCAACTTACAGGATGTGATCTAGTGTTAGGAAATGATTGGATGAAGAAGAATAATCCTACCAAGTTCGATCATGAGAAAAAGTGTGTGACAATTGGTAGAAAGGGAAATGAAACCATTTTACATGTTATTCCAGGTGAGGGTAGTTTGAGTATGATCAGTGGTAGTGCCATAGGTAGGCTTATCAGGAAGGTCAAACATTGATGGCTCATCTACTCATGCTGGGAGTAGAGTCCTACAATGAGCAGGAGCATGTGGATGCCACTATACAAGAAGTGCTGGACAAGTACCAGTCTGTGTTTGCTGAGCCAAAGTCTTTACCACCAGTGAGACAACTGGACCATGCTATTAACTTAAAGCCTGGAGCCTCACCAGTTAGTCTAAGACCTTAAAGATACAATCACTACCAAAAGGAGGAATTAGAAAAGCAAGTTTCGGAGATGCTTACTAATGGGATTATTAGCACAGCCGATCTCCCTTTTCCTCACCAGCTCTATTGGTTAAGAAAAAGGATGGCACCTGGAGGTTTTGTGTAGACTATAGAGGGTTGAATGAGATCACAGTGAAGGATAAGTACCCAATTCCCATTGTTGATGACCTTTTAGATGAGTTACATGGAGCAGTGGTCTTAGGGCAGGTTATCATCAAATCAGAATTAAGGTTGAAGATGTGTACAAAACAACATTCAGGACTCACATTGGACATTATAAGTTTAAGGTTATTGCCTTTTGGGCTTACCAATGCCCCTGCCACCTTTTAGGCCCTAATGAATCGGGTCTTTCAATTGTACCTCAGTCCTCAGGAAGTTTGTTTTGGTGTTTTTTATGATATCCTCATTTATAGTAAATCATTGCCAGAGCATGTAGATCATTTACTGTTGGTGTTCAACACCTTATTATTCCATTCATTGTATGCAAAAAGGTCCAAGTGCTCTTTTGGTCAATCCAAAGTAGAGTACTTATGACATGTTATTAATGCAGAAGGGGTGTGTCAACTGATCCTGCCAAGGTGAAAGCTATGGAAGAATGGCCTACCCCTATAACTGTGAAAGCTTTGAGGGGATTTCTGGGCTTAACGGGATATTATAGAAAGTATGTAGCTAATTATGGAAGCATAAGCAAACCACTATTTGACTTGTTGAAGAAGGATGCTTTTGTGTGGACTGAAGAAGCTGATCAAGCTTTTGCGGCACTTAAGAGGGCCAAGTCTACCACACCAGTGCCTTGCCAAATTATGATGAAGAATTGGTAGTAGAGACTGATGCATGCCATTCAGGAATTGGAGTTGTGCTAATACAAAGGTGAAGGCCAATAGCCTATTTTAGTAAGGTATTGGCTATGAAGCATAGAGATAAATCCATTTAGGAGAAAGAATATTTAGCTCTATTGAGTGTTGTTGACAAGTGGGGACATTACCCTCAATACAAGCATTTTGTGGTCAAGACTGACCACCATAGCCTCAAATATTTGCTTGAACAGAAGGTTACTATAGCAGTGCAACAAAGAGGTCTGACCAAATTGTTGGGGTTAGATTATGAGGTGCAGTATAAGAAAGGGGCAGAGAATAGAGGGGCCGATGCACTCTCAAAGCAGCATGAAGGGGTTAGCTTGAGTGAAGCTGATACAATTTCGAACCAACAAGAGGAGAACCACTTGAGCGAAGAAGGCCAGTTGCATGCCATCAGTGTAGCAGTTCCATTGTGGGTCCAAGAGGTTGCAACCAGCTATGAAGGTGATCCTATGGCTGTGGAGCTCATTACACAGTTGACAGTGGATACTAATAGTCCTAACTTGTGGCAGTTTTACTCGGGAGTATTGAGAAGGAAGGGGAAGATTTATGTGGGCTCAAATGGACCTCGTATGCATCAGTTGATCCAGACCTTCCATGCTTCTAACTTAGGAGGGCGCTCTGGCCAACTTGGAACTTTCAAAAGGTTGTCTCTACTATTCTATTGCCCAACAATGAAACAAATGGTGGTGCAGTTTGTATCTGAATGTGAGGTTTGTCATAGGAACAAGGATGAGAATGCTCCATATCTAGGTTTGCTGCAACCTGTGCCCATTCCTGATCAATCATGGAGACAGATAAGTTTGGATTTTGTTGAAGGTTTGCCTAAATCCTCAGGCAAGGATGTTATTTTGTAGTGTTGATAGGCTCACTAAAGGTGCTTATTTTATAGCTCTATCCCACCCTTTCACAGCTCTACAAGTCGCAACTAAATTCTGGAAGAGAGTACACACTCTTCATGGTGCACCTGAGTTGAGTCCATTATCTCTGATAGAGATAAAATATTTGAGTAACTTCTGCTCTCTTCAAATTAAGTGGCACTCAACTCTCCTATATTGTTCTACCTATCATCCTCAAACAGATGGGCAAACTGAGAGGGTTAATCGGTGTATAGAAAATTGCTTGAGGTGCATGACTAGTCACAGACCTCATCAGTGAAGCAGTGGTTGCACCTAGCTGAGTGGTGGTACAACATCAACTACCACACAAGCTTGCAATGCACCCTTTTGAAGCTCTATGGGTATTCGCCTCCTCAACTATCTATGGGACCAAACTGTGGTGCCTGCTGCTGAAGATTTGATCATGAAGAGGCAACAAATGCAACAAATTTTTAAGAACAATTTGTTGAAAGCTCAATAAAAGAATGAAGTACTATGCTGATCTACATAGGTCAGAAAAGGAGTTTCAACCTGGTGAGATAGTATACCTCAAGCTTCAACCTCAGACAGTCCTCAATTGCTCTACGAAGAAATTTGAAGCTCAACTCCAAATACTATGGCCCATACAAGATTCTAGCAAGGGTTGGACTTGTAGCCTATAAGCTAGATCTTCCACCTGCTTCTAAAGTACATCCAGTGTTCCATGTCTTCTCAAAAAGAAGATGGGGGCCAGTGGTTTGGGCTTGAGACTTCCATGTTGGAGGTCTCAAGTTCGAAACCCCTTGCTAGTGAAAGCAAGGGGTTTGCCTTCTACGTCGAGCTTGTCGCACCAGGCTTGCTTAGTGCGGGTTAACTCCTACGTGGTTTGCAAGCTATTGCATAGGAGCGAGGGTTTTACCCTATGCACACCCAAAGGGTAGCGGCTGCGGGTTTCCCTTGTCATCAAAAAAAAAATAGTGGTGCAATCTATTCTACCAGTTACTGGGGAGGATGGTCAGTTTTTGGTTAGACCAGTGGCTATTCTTCAGCGGCAGATAGTCAAGCTGAACAATCGAGCCAATGTGAAATTGCTCATACAGTGGTCGAATCTACCTCCTGAAGATGCTACATGGGAAGATTATCATTTCATCAAGGCCACGTTTCCTGATTTTGTTATTAATCCTTGACGCAAGGATGCTTTGCAGGGAGAGAATTATCATGACCTTGGGCATCCAATAAGTAGTTATAACTACTGGATAGAAGCAATGGCCCATATTAGATGTAGATTAATGAGATTAGAGAGTGGAGATGCAGCCACGTCATCACAGTGCCAAACCAGCACAAGTCACGTTGATTTAACCAACTCTGCAGAGGAAAGAGAAGCTGAATGGATAATTGGCATCTTTCTCACCTTTTCTCTCACATCTCTCCTTTCTTCTTCTTCCTTTTCCTAATCCCACTCATTCTTCTTCTGCAGATTAAGGACTCGTCTATGGAAACTTCCAAACTTCAGATTCATTTTCCATTGTTCTAAGTTGTAATTCCTTCAATTCAGTTGATTAATAGAAAATTGTCCCAAAAAACTCTACTGTTTTATTAAATCTCAGTTCGATAATTGTTGAATTGAGGTCAGGTTCTGACACAACACATAATACGGTGCATAATTTGAAATATGTGTCAAGTCAAATTGATTATTCATAAACCATGAGAGAATATAGGCTATGGTGCATGATGTGGAATATGTTTAAAGTCAAACGAGTTACTAGGGTGATATTTTAGGAGATGAAAATAACATAGGATGCAGTGTCTTTGGCACTTATGTGAACAATAAGGAAAGAAAGGAAAAGAAGAGCAGCTTAAAAAGGCAGAAGACACCTCCTGTAGGATTATTAATGAAACAATTCAACACAAAAGCAATAATAATAGTTGTATATTTTAAGAGCATATATGGCATCCCGAAGCCTTGATTCTCTTTCTAGAGAATCAAATTTTTTTCAGCAAAATTTCATAATGTTGTATGGATCTTGATTCTTGTAAGTATAGAGTTCCCAACTACATCAGTAAATACTAAATAGGCAATTTCATCAAAGTAATTTGCTTGTCAATTGCCTTGCATGCTTACACGTTTCAGCATTCCTATGTTTATACTACCTAAAATCAACAACAAAAAACAAATAAACCAAAAAAGGGGGGAAAACAGAAAAGGCGACTTCAACATAGACCCAGACTTTTGCATAAACAAGATGTTTAACCAAAATGGATAATAAGACTGAAAACATGAAGCTTCCTCATATTGACCAAATTGAGTAGAACATTTTCAATATATTATAGCAGTAACTGGAAAGCGAATACCTTCTAGCAGTCCTCAACTGCTTTCGGTACTCAGCGGAGCTTCCCAAAGCATAACAGCCCAAGAGAAATTCCCAAACTTCTGGTCTTATAGCTGGATCCACACCCTACCATGCAAGAAAAAAAAACTAATTGTTATAGCGGAGATACACTCATAACTCAGAAGTTTCACGCACACTAAATTATAAATATTACATACTTCTCTTTTAACAAATTAAACTCTTTTAAAGCAACCACCTTAAAGAACCTTGGTGCAGAAGTTGAGAAAAGTGTGTTTTGCAAGTTAAACTCAATGCCAACGTATGTTGTACTCTCTCAAATTCTTTCATCATCTCACTACTTCTCCAAGTATTCCAAAAGTTACCCAAGAGGATATTTCAGCTATGTTTTTCGGGAGGATGGTGATATGGTTTATGCCTCTCCTGTTTAGTATCAATACAGAGTTCAAGTAGACATTTGGACATGAATAGAGTGATATTTGAAAACAAGTAGTATTTGAAGTTGAAGTTGAAAAATAGATTTGAAAGTAGAAATTGTGTTTGGAACATGCATTTCACTTTAAAAAAGGTTGAAGTTTTGTGAGTAGAAAAAAAAAATTCACTTGAAAAGCTGGTCAACTTGAAAAAACTCATCCTCAAAAACTAGCAAAAAATCATTCTAATGTGTTACTAAACAATGTTCTGAAAACATTTATTGGAAAAAAAGGGAAAAAAAAGTTCATGTTCAATCTCCTTTCTTCTTTTCTTAATAGGTTTGTCCCTGAATTGCACATTATTCTCAAGAAAGGGAAATATTTGAATGGAACTTTCGTGTCTCAAATTTGTGATGGGACATTACACATCTATATCGTTGGTGTCCAGATCGATTTCTCCGAACCTCGACTAATCTACCATGCAGCCTGTACAGTGCATAAACATATGCTTCCAAGGTAACCCGGTCACCATAACTGGAACAGATTCACTCAGACCAGGTGTTGTAGTTGGGATTCGAATCTGGATCTCTAGGTTGTTGCTCTCATGCCTCCAACACTAGGTCATCCTCTGGTAGACAACATAATTGGATTTACCATCCCTGGTATGTCTCTCCTACCCAACCTAACCCCCCCCCCGGGGTAAGTTTTTAAGAGATCTTCGCTTGTAACATAGTAATGTTCTGACAAAGTTATGCTGGGTTTTTTTTTTTTTTCCCCTTACTTTAAGAGGTAGGAATTCTGAGGGAAACAAGTCTTGATGTTGTTTCTCTGAATGCTTCCATTGCCACTTTGAAAAAGAACAACAATAGTCCATAGACATAATACATAGGCAGACACTTAAAGTCGGCCTCAACTGGCAAATAAGCACTCTAATTTTGAGAATGCACATCTAGATACCTCGACTTGGTATCAACTAGCAACTAAACACTCCATCATGCCCTCACTGTGCCTTGTGGACACCCGATGCTGACATGGGCACATAAATTTCAGAGGTATCCAGATGATCACTTTGTAAGTTGGAGCGTTCAACTGACACAATGTACACGAGTTGAGTTGTCTAGATATGCATACTCAAAGTTGGAGTGCTTGCTTTCCAGGACAAGTTTGAGTGTCTATCTATATGTTATCCCAGATATACATTACATGGATTCATCTGTTGCTTCCTCTTTACAACTGACATTGCCATTGCCACCTCCAGTTTCTCTGGTACCTTAAATGCTTTTTGTTTCAATCTTATCTATTTTGCAGCAATTTTCCATGTGTTGAACTTTTCGGTTGGCATAATAATTCTTTTACTAATTTCTTCCACATCTTATTTCTTTTTAAAGGAAAAATTCAAACTGCAGCATGCTATTATTGCATAAATTTGTGGAAAACATGCCTTTTACCAGATGCCAAAAGTGACTTTCTAAGTGTATAAGTATTATACATATTCTATTTATAAGCACAAACTAGTCATATACACTTCTTTGTTCACTCTATTTTGCCCTTGTCATTATCAATCTTATTTACTATTTTACATTTCAGTAAATTTTGAACTAATTACATATACCATATATATTTTATATTATATGTAATATTTAATTTTGTTCCATATTAGTTGCTATATTTTCTACATTGTATTCTTCTACTTTGTACTTGGATTTGCTACACTCGAGCCGAGGGTCTTTCGAAAATAGTATCTCTACCTCCACGAGGTAATGGTAGGGTCTACGTACAATCTATCCTCCTCAGACCCCATTTGTGGGATTTCAATGGGTATGTTGTGGTAATATTCAATTTTTCGGTCTCGGGTTCGAACCCTGGGTATGAAAAAAATCATGTTGGGAACGCCACCCCTGAATGGGCCCTGCAGTGCGTGATCCGAATTTAGTCGGAGCTCCAATGTGGGCTCCGGACACCGGGTGGGAAACCAAAAAAAGAAAATATTCAATTTTTCACCTATCTCCTTTGAATATAATTTAAGTTAGGTTATATCTTATTATAAAGGGAAAAGGCATAGATTCCCTTCTGAACTTGTCCCGAAAAGTCAAATACATGCTTAAACTATCATGGCGACCTATTCTACACCTTTACTACTTAAAAGTGAATTCAATACCAACCTGAGACTAGTAACAACACTCTCACAGTATGTGGTGTATTACACTCGATGCCAGGTCAGCACTACGTCAGCGTCATGTCAGAATTTATAATTTTTAAAAACTTTTTTGTTTTCTTTATATGATTTAAGTTAGGTTATATTTTATTATAAAGGGAAAAGGCATAGATACCCTTCTGAACTTGTCCCGAAAAGTCAATACATGTTTAAACTATCATGGCAACCTATTTCATACCTTTACTACTTAAAAGTGAATTCAATACCAACCTGAGACGTCTAACGACACTCACAGTATGTGGTGTATTACACTCGCCGCCAGGTCAGCACTACGTCAGCGCCATGTTAGAATTTATAGTTTTTAAAATATTTTTTGTTTAATTTTCTTTATTCATTAACTTTTCTTTCATTAACTATATTTATAACTAATTAATCTCTAATTAATTATTAAAATACTCTAATAATTATATCTTCTTCATCACTAAACCCCACCAACTCCATCTCCCATCACACCAGAAAAATCATGTCCAGCCACCTTCACCATCAATTTTTTGCTCTTCACCACCACCAAATCACCTTCTATTCTTCTTCTTCACCCACCACCAAATATCACCATCACTATATCAATATCGATTTCTTCCTCTTAACCACCTTCAATTCTCTCTTCTTTGCCAACCACCATCCACCACCAACAAACCCACCACTATATTTTATTTTTTAAACCCAACAATCAACTTTACCAGCCACCAACAACGCTGCCATCACCATCAATTTCTACAACTTCTCTTCTATCACTTTCTTCATTGAGTTTTTGGCGAGGTGAGACAACCCTTATTTAGAGTGAAGGAAGAGAGAAATTGGGTATGGTGGAGGTGGTGAAATCTGGTGATAATGTTGTGATTTTTTATAGTAATAGTGAAATTAATAGAAATGCGATGGTTCTTCTTCATCATTGATGTTTCATTTAGTATAGAGAATTCAATGGTGATTTTGGAGCTTTCTTCTGCACTACATTTTGGTAAAGTTGCAAAGATCTGTAATGAAGAAAGCGAAGATTTTGAATGTTGATTTTTGTATCAACAATGGAGTAAGAATAAAAATAGCATTTATGAAGAAATTAAGTTGTAGAAAATATTGATGAAAAATAGAGAATGAAGAAGAAGAGGACAGTGGGTGGGGTGTAAAAAAGAAGAGGTGTGGGGGTGGGGGTGAGGGTAGAAGGAGGATTCTAAATTTGTTTTTACTTGAGTTTCTAACTGACGCGCATTTTTTTTTTGGTTACGTCAATTTTAAGGCTAAATAAATTCACTTTTAAATAGTAAAGGTGTGTAATAGGCCGCTAGGACAGTTTAAGCATGTATTTTGACTTTTCAAGGTAAATTCAAGGAGGAATCTATGTCTTTACCCTATTATAAAATGTAATTTAAACTCTTGTAAAGTACAAGTAGAATAATCTATTAATTTTATCAAAAACAATTTGTAAAAATCTACCACTACGTTGTTATTTTATTATTAAGTGAATGAAATATAACAACAATATACCCCGTGTAATTCCACAAGTGGGGTCTGGAGAGGTAAATTACACAAGACCTTACCCCTAACTTGAGAGGTAGAGAGATTGTTTCCAATAAACCCTTGGATCAAGGAAAAAGTCATAGCAGGTCAGGAAAAAGAATTAACAAGAGTGAAGTCATGGCAAAATATTATAGAGAATATGTCAAAGCATTCTGGGAAAAAAAATGTAACTACAACAAAATACTACAATGCAAGAAAAAAAACGAGTAATAACAAGCATCAAAAAACAAGAAATTGCCAGAAAAATACTATTATTAGTGTAGGAAAGTGAGCAAGACAACACTCTATCCCTACTGCTAACCTTCCACCCTAATTGGTGTCCCTCCACAATATCCTATCTAAGGTCATGTCGTTGGTAAACTAAAACAACGCCATTTGCTGTCTAATTATCTATCCCTAGTACTTCTTCATCCTACCTCTACCTCTCCTGAAACCATCCATAGTCAACCTCGCACACCTCTGCTCTGGAGCACCCATGCATTTCCTTTTCTCACACAAAAAAAAAGTGATTTTATATATATAAATATTTTTGGATGCGTATTAATATTTTAGAGTTTTGTCATCCATTAATGTAACATTTTTAATTGAATCATAATTTGAAATTCATTTAAAGTATAATAGAGGATCATTAAGAGTTACTTTACCATTCTCAAAAAAAAAATAGAGGATCATTAAGAGTTTGTTATAAATAAATTATTCTCTCTCATTCTCAATTGTGTAATTAAAATTGAGTTTTGGTTATTATTATCATCAATATTGATACGAACATATTGTTCTAATTAGCTCAATTATTTTGTTATTCAAACATCTTATATCCTTGAAAATTATTTTTCATGTTTTAATCCATAAATAAGATTTATTAGTGTTATAGGTAAGTCATATATTAAAAAAAAAAAAGGAAAGTATCATAATATTTAACAAGTAAAAACAGCACAAATGTTGATAATTTAGAGGGTAAAATAGATATTTAAAATGTTCAATTGAGATAAGAGGAGAGGAAATGAATTAGTCAAAGTCAGGGGAAGTATTTCATTTTTAAAAGCAAAGTTGAGCAGGGCAAAATGGTTTTCACCCGTATAGAGATAATCTTTTTTAAGGGTTTAACCTACTCCTGTATTTTCAGACGGACTTCTAGTACTTTAAGAGTTTTTTTTTTCTTTTTTTAATGAATGTGGTGTCTGGGCCAGTTTTCACACAGCTCGACTAGTAATTTAAGAGTTCTAACTTGTTCAAAACATCATCTACCTAGGTTATGAACAATTTTTTAGGAAGACTTCAATAGTATGTGGGATAGGATTGTTAATAACATTAGGTAAGTACCAAAAGAGGTGAGAGTAGACTCTAAGCATTTCCCAGTGGCGATGAGATTGCACCAAGGATCAACTCTAAGCCTTTTTTATTTGCCTTAATGATGGATAAATTGACATAGCGAATCAAAGATGAGATCCTTGGTGTATGCTATTTGCAAATGACATAAGCCTGATAGACGAGACTCACGGCCGATTTAACGCGAAGCTGGAGGTTTGGAGACAAACCTTGGAGTCTAAAGGGTTCAAGTTGAGCAAGGCCAAAACAAAATACTTGGACTGCAAATTCAGTAACAAACACATGAGGTCAAAGTGAGGCATGATACCCAAGTCATCCAAAAGAAAGAAAGTTTCAAGTGTCTTGGGAATATTATCCAAGGAAATGTAGAGATTGACGAGAAAATCACTTATCATATTGGTGCAGAGTCGATGAAATGAAAGCTCTTATCCGGAGCCCAGTTTGTTAAGAAGGTACCACCAAAATTTAAAGACAATTTTACACATCGATTTTGTTACATGGAGCGAAGTACTCGTTAGTTAAGAACTCTCATATTTAGAAGATGAAAGTTGCAAAAATGAAGATGTTGAGTTGATGTTTGGCAATACTAAAAGAGATAAGATTATAAATGATGATACCCGAGCCAAGGTGGGAGTGTCCTCGATAGTAGACAAGATGCGAGAAGTGTGACTGAGATAGATCGAACATGTGAAGAGAAGATGCACGGATGCCCCAATGCGGAGGTGTGAGAGATTGGCTATTGATGGTTTCTGAGAGGTATAGGTAGGCCGAAGAAGTTTCGGGGAGAAATGATTAGACAAGAGTCAAGACATAGTTCAGTGGCAACTTACCAAGGACGTGACCTTAGATAAAAGGATAAAATGTTATGGAAGACACGGTAGAAGGTAAGTAGGTAGTTAATTGAGTATTATTTCGCTTATCCTTTCATATTATTAGTTGTAGTATTATGAGTGAAGTGTCCAAAATACACCTAAACTATCCCATTTATTTAGTTTCATACCTAAACTATTGGAAGTGTGAGTTTCACATATAAACTATCACTCATTAGTTTGAGAAACACATCTCCTTGGTGTGTGTAATCTCTTTTATTCAAAAAAAACCTTGTCACTTGGCATTCCACATGGACAAAACATTCCACCTTGACAAAAATTAAATAAACTACTAGTATTAGTTAGAAGTTAAAGATAAAAATATCACTATCTCCAAAAAAAAGGAATTATTTTTCAAAAAACCATAAAATTTAAAATATTTCTTACCCCACTCCACCCCGTATCCCCCCCCCCCCCCGGTGTTTTTTAAAAATTTCTTATATAAATTTTTTTAAAAAAAAAAAACCTTACTTCAACCCCCCCCCCCTCCCCAAACAACCTACTCCTTTCCAAATATCTTTAAGAAAAAAAAATCTACCCCACCTCATTTACCCCTTTGCTCTCAATTTTATTTTATTTTTACATTTTTCTCGTTTTGTGTTAGATATATACATATGTTTTAGGAAAGTATTTTTTTTACTTGCATATTGAATATAACAAAAATGAAAATTTTATTTTTAGAAAAATCGTACGGAAAATAGAAAATATTTTTCCTTAAAACATATGGTATATATCTAAAACAAAATGAGGAAAGTGAAAAAGAAAAAAAAAATCTTAAAAAATATATTAATTTGCTTTTTTTTAGATTAAAGTACTTTAATCTTTAATTTTTAACTAATACTAATAATTTATCTAATTTTTTTCAAAATGGAATATTTTGTCCATGTGAAGTGTCAATGTGTCAATCATTTTAAAATAAAAGAGAGTGTATTACCATACCATCAAGAGAGTGATAGAAGAGAGATGTGTTTCTCCAACTTATAGTTTAGGTATGAAACTCACTCTCTCAATAGTTTAGGTATGAAACTCAAAAAAATGAGATAATTTAGATGTTTTTTTAACACTTATCTCGTAGTATTATTGTAGTTTCTTGTTATTCGCTTATTGTTACTATTTATTGTTTTTTTGCACCTCTATTATTGTCTTATTTTTGTTGTATTTATTCTTACTTTTAAGAATATTTAGTCATGGTTTCTTTAGTATTTTACCGTGGTTTCTTCACTCCCGTTATTTTCTTTTTTTGAAATGTTTTTCCTTGAGCCGAGAGTATTGGAAACAGTCTCTCTACCTTCCTAGGTAGGTAGCCTTACACACTACCTTGTGGGATTAAACTTGGTATATTGTTCTTCTTCTCCAATAATTATGAGACTTAACTGAATTGATTTGATATTAAAATCTCTCTCTATTCTAGCTATTTCTTTCGGTCTAAACCTCTTTTTCTCGATTGCATTTGTCTTTCACTCTCTCTCTATTTGTCTTAGTTGTCTTCTCTTTTTTGGATAATGGTGTTATATACTCCCAATACAAGAGCCTCGACTGATCCACCTCTCCCACAAGCAAAATTAAGCACAAAGGGCTTTAACAAAAATAGTAACTTACAACAATAGAAGCCTTACCCCTAATATGATCAATTTCAGCACTTTCCTAAAACCATGTACCTTCCCATCCTTTTCAAAGATTGTCTGCCACCTGTCAGGCTTAAGCATTTTGCTCATCTGTATCATCAAAAACACAAGAAAAATATTCCCAGCATGAATGTTGAGTTTACCATAAATAGCACAAAGAAAAAGTCAACAGTGTAGAAGTTGAGTTTACGAAGCAAAAATTCCTATGTTGTTATTAATCAAAAAAAAAGAAGAAAGTAGCAGACCTATGAATAAGTACTGTATTCTATGATACTTCCTCTAAAGAAATCATACTCCCTCCTTCCCAATTTACGTGATGTAATTTGACTGGACATAGAGTTCAAGAAATATGGGAAGACTTTGCAATATTCCAAAATTACCCTTCAAATAAATGAATTTTTAAATAGAAAAGTACACTTTTGTGGATTTTTTGCCAAATAAGTGGACCCAACATGGGTAAAATGTCGATAGTGTCATTAAATATTTATGAAATAAGAAATGTGTCATTCTTTTTTAGATTGATTGAAACGGAAAGTGTGTCGTATAAATTGGGATAGAGAGAGTAATATTTTCTGAACAACTAATATTAGCAAGCAAGAATAAACATGAATTCTCCAATTCAAGTAAAAGACTCGAGCAAAAGTGTTTCTTGAATTCTTCTAAATGTTACTTCATTACATTAAATGGGTGAACCACTAGAGACAAGCTTTATTCAGATATATTCAAAGGGCCCTTTAATGATGGCCAATTACTTCTTTTTTTCTTTTTTGATAGCAAGCAAACAAATTAGTGTTGCAAGTGGCTGAACTGCCAAATTCAGGAAATTATCCCGCTGATAAAAAATTTATGGGTATTTACAACTTCTATATTAGCACTTGATATTCTGTTTTATTTAAACTAAAAAAAAAATAATAGCACTTGAAGGTTGGTAGCTTCTCCAACTAAATCCTTTTAGTGTCTGGATGATAAATCTCTGCCAGTTGATAAACAAATCAAGAGCAGAATATGATGGGCTCCAAGCAGAGATGTGATATCATATGGATAAGAGGTATGTCTCTTCCGTTTCAAACACCCTCCACAAATAAAGCTAAAACTTCTGATTCAATATTATGATGAGGATAAAGCTCCTGAGATTAAAAGGTTGTGCATACGATGATAGACCTTATTTGCTTAACTTGATGATGAGCAAGATGAAATTTTGTCCTAGCACCACCCTCTATCCTTTTCCTAGAGTGTTTATTTTTATCAAGTCAGCAAACTATATTAATCAACATGCCAAAATTGGCTGTATACAAGAAGTATACCAAAACGTAAAGAACCTACAAAACGGCATGGTTCTCTACATGGGTGCACCAAAAATAAATAAGGGAACGGTTTCTACTCCTTCAAAGGCCCTCCCTAGTTCTCTCTCTCTCTCTCCAAACAATCCACATCAAAGCCAGAGGAACCACACTCCATGCCGTGCACTTCCTCCCATTTCTTATAGCTTTGCAGCAAAACAAAAGTTCCTTTACAGATCTGGGCATCATTCAGGACATATCAAACCAGCAGAACATATCCCACCACAGTTGTGTAGCCAAGCTACAATGTAGTAGAAGATGATTTACATCCTCAACGTCCTTGCATAAATAACACCAGTTGATACACAACCTTTCTTTTTCTAAAGTTTTCCGCCGTCAAGATCACCCTTCTAGCAGCAGCTAACCATGTGAAAAACTACAGTTTCCTCGAAACCTTAGGAATCAAAACCGACTTTATAAGCAACACCTCCTACTCCCTTGCAAAAACCTTCTCATAAAAAACGACTTGACTAAACATACGCAATTGTTCCCCAACTTCCATCTCAGTCTATCGGATCTGCTCACCTGCGCACAATGAAGATGGAGCAGAGCTAGTAACCTTTGAAACTCATCCATTTCCAAAATCTTGAAAATCCTTCCTAAGCCTCAAATCCCAAACATTTCTTCCCCTTGAGTCCCCCTCATGTGCTGGACTACTGCCTCCCTTTGACACGACACCCTATAAATACTCAGAAACTCATCTTTTAGCAACATGTCTCCATTCCGTTCGTTTTCCCAAAAACTAACTCTACTCCCTTCCCTACTACCCTATAAGAGATTATCATAGGAATCTGCTCTTCCATTCATGATGCTCCTCCAAAGTTCACAACCAAACGCCAAAGTGGTAACATTAGTTTTCCGACCCCCTTTCATTACCCCATACTTATCAACTATCACCCTTCTTCATAAGGATTGAGCTCCACCCTGAATCTCCACAACCATGTCCCGAACAAAGCTTTGTTAAAGACCCTCAACTCTTTGACTCCCACCCCCATCCCCAACCCCACAACATTTAGGAGTCGTCACGGTCTCACATCGAACCAAATGATACTTCTTTGCCCCTTCCACTAAATCCCAAAGGAAGTTCCTCTGGAGGCCTTTCCAATTTTCGTGTAACACTGATAGGAGCTTCAAAAAACCACATGAGGGGAGACCTCCCAAATACTTTTTTGTTCCACACCCTTAAATCTATTTTAAGCATCTTCATCTTTATAGCAAGCGGATAAGGTCTCCCCTCCACAACGTAGCTACTCCAACACCCATTCACCTTCTCCCCAAAATTTGTCGCTTTCAACCACATTCTCATATCTGAACGGAGATCTCGACCTTCTTCCTCTACTAACAATCCAATAAAATGGGCATTGGATAGGTGAATGGTTTGAGACCAATCTTGATAAAGGGACTTGCAAGCACCAGGTGCCAACTCCAAGAAGTAAGCATAAAGAATCTGACATTTTAGATTTGGAAGTGTCCTCTAGATGATGTGAAATAGGCTCATGTTAAAGGTAAATCAATAAGATAACGGTTATCAATGAACTCCACAAACTCTTATGGCCCTAGATATCACCCTACACTGTACCTTTTCCTCTAGGAATCTTATGATATTAAAATCTCCCTTCCCCACAAGGAATGTCCCATCTCCCCAAACCTGCCCCAACCTCCTCCCAGAACACCTCCTTTGAGCCTCCCCCCCCCCCCCAGTCCATACACTCCCCCAAAACCCCTTTCAATCCCATTACAAACATTTCCAAACTTCATACCAATCATAAACTTCATTTCCTAAACCTCAATACATGCCATCTTCCTATCAACCTAAAGAATAAGAATACCACCTGCATTGCCACGAGCCTGATTGTAATCATACTTCACCCATTTACCACCCCCTACACTTCTCCATTTCTTCTCCTAAATACATAGCAAGTCCGGCCCCAATTCTCTAAACCCTACTTTTAAAATAGCCCTTTCAATGGGATCATTCATCCCCTCACAATTTTAACTGATAATTTTATAATCCATCAACAAATAATATTTTCCAACCCCCTACCCCCTCGTTCCCTCGATGTGGCTCCCTATTTCTCCTCTCATACACCAAAAGTTTGCACCCTCCTTTATGAACACCCAAATTAGAATTGTTCTCATCCATCAATTCTAATTCTTTCAACTGTACAACACATCTAGCCTCTTGGTCAGTAGAATTCAAGAGATCAATAACTTTCCCCTCCATACCATCAAAAGACACCCCTAAAAACTTCACAAAATTAATGTACTTCTCTACCGCCCAATTGGAAATACCCCCACCCCCACCCCCAAACACACACACAAATTTTGTAGTTACCCCACAAGTATTCCCCACGCCACCCACAATTGAATTACAAGAGAAAGAGCAAAACTCCCCTAAGGAATTCCCCTGCACAACACATTGTTGTGAAAAAACCTATTCCTTGTGCCACCGGTTGTACCCCCCCCCCTCCCCACCCCCACCCCATAACGTCCTTATCTAACTGATGAGAGATAGAAAAGTTCCTCTCCGAATTCCCATGGGCCTTGGAGGACTCACTGACAAATCAGAATTAGGGAGGGGTGTTCCAGGCCTATCAACTTTAAAACAAGAGCCTTCGACTGACCCCACCGGAGTAGCGCACTAGCCAGCAGCTAAAACTGGATCTCCAGCAGTCCATTTTCCCTTATCCACTGAAATCACAGTCACCAAATTGTTTTGGGGTGATTCCAAACCTCATTAGTGGAAAAATCATCAAAAACAAGTTGATCAGTGTCACCTTTCCAAGGACCCAGTTCGTCAAATGAAGTAATAGCCTCACGGGACCTGTCTCCTACCTTATTCACGTCACCTCCCTTCGTGGAAGGCTCTACCCAAGCTTTACAAGTCTCTTGAAGAGTCCTAACAATTTTTTATTTGTAAGGTGAGAGTGATAGTTATAATTTTATATTGACAGTATATAAGTAGGCGTTTGGACATGCTATTTCATCTAGTGATTTGAAATCATGAGATGAAATCCCAAATTCTCCAAAAAGCATGATCTGAGAACTTCATCTCATGATTTCATATTTTTCAAATACGAAAACTGACCCACAAGTTTATATTTTGTAGAAAAGAACATTTTATATCTATTTAATTTTTTGCGAGAATACCAAAGGAATGATGAAATATTCTCGGAATATGAACATGATGATATAGAATTGACCATGTTCAATTCTTTTAAAGAGTAGTATTTTGATGACCAATTTATTAAAGAGTAGTTTACTATAACTCAAGTTCAATTTTACTTTTTTATTGAACTAAAATTTGATCAAATATATTGTGTTTTTTTTAGAATAACTTTGTGATAGTGTATTATACTTTTGTTATGAAATTTTGCTTTATGGATAAAGATAATATAAAGAATTGAGGCAATTTTGATAGTTTTCACAACTTATGGGGGTTTTATGTTTATGAGCAAAGCATACAACTTAAAATTCAAATTGCATGTCCAAACAAACCACAACTTCATCTCATATGATTTCATATCATGATTTTTCATCTCATATGGCCAAACTGGCCCCAAGTCTTTCAAAATTTAGTTTTTCTTAGGCACAAAAATTTTGAAAAATTCATTTCTTGACAATCTTTACACATAATCTTATGAGTTCCATTTTTTGTTATTGTAGGATAACGAAAATTACATACCATAAAACAAAAGTTATTTCTTATTTCTTCTCCAAAGTTGGTAATTGACCAGATAGAGTAATATTTAACTCATAATTGTGAAAATTCATAAAATAAAGAAAAGAAAGAATGATTGAGAAAAAAGAAAAAAGAAAACAAATGCAAAATGAAGGAGAATTTGGAGCTATACCGTTGGTCTCATCATTAAACCAGTTTCCTTCTTTTTCACATCTAGCCTTTTCTTTCATAAATAATAGTAATCATACTAGTTTGAAATTTCACACATTAATGTTAACATTTGAATGATATACATACATATAAGCAAAAAAAAATATTCTACTATTATAACAACATACTTGGTGAAATTCAACAAAGTGGTATTTGGGGAGGGTAGAGTATATGCAGGCCTTACCACTACGTTTTGGAGGTAGTGAGGTTGTTTCCAAATGACCCTCAGCTCAAGTGAAGAAAATTAAATTAAGTATAAATATTGATTACTTATCTATTTTAAATTGCTAATTTTGGACAATTTTGTTAAAGTTTGAAAAAAACAGTATTTGAAGTAAAAGTTGAAAATGTGTTGACATTGTGTTTGATATAATTTCACATGGATACAAGTTGGATTTTTATAAGTAAAATATTACTTCATTCGAGAAGCTCTAAAAATAATTTTGTTAGATATAACTTATCTATTTATTGCTGAAGTTGAAATAGTCGATAAAGTTATACAACAAAGATTGATTTTTTTTTTGAAACTGCAACAAAGGTTGATTTGCAAATAGCGTATGTCGAAATGCCTTTACAACTCAAACAAGACTTCTTGACATATGTGTATGGTTAAAATTCAACATTTTGCATCACAAACTATATACAAGTTATGTAATAAAATAAACATGCAGAGAAACTAGTTATTATGAAAGTGGAAAAACTCTTGAGTAGAAAATGTTGATAGACTAAAAAAGCTAAAGTTGAACAACCTTTTTAGCCTTTAAAAATAATATTATCATTTTTAATAGTAAGGTACAAATATGTAAAAACACTTCATAGTAATTAAAAGAAAATCCTTAGTAATTCCTATTAGGACTGTTAATTGCTATACAACCACACTTGTCTTTGTTCCTCTCAAAATATGGAAATTTGAGGAGTTAGCAATCTGAAATGTCATTAAAATCAACAAGAACTAAGGGGAAGTAATCTAAATGGTTACAAGATGGAAAATAGTCAGCTTAGTGAAATGATGCTTGCTAATGTGGTGTAAGTGATACCACTAATATGAATGAAGCGGAATTCCTTGGATGTGGACATAACAGAGAGCACATCTATTTTCATCCTTTATATTCAATTAGGACTCCTAGACTGTGTTGTACTGTACCAGATCATTAGGCTTCTGAGTATTTACACCCTCTTTTGACCGAATCCTTTCTCAAAGAGTTAAAACTTCCCAAAGATGGTGGATTACTTATCTCCTAGTGTCGAAATACTCGACATAATTAATTCCAGAATATTTTTTTCTCTTTTCATGGATTCCTTCTTTTGTTAGGTTCAACTTCTTGGATGCTCCTCCGTATTCACCAAAGGCAATAAGCTTCCATTGTAGGTTATTTTTACTTCTTTCTTATACTTGCAGCAACATACTAGGCGTTCCCTTGCAGATAATTCATGTGTTAAATGATACCCATATTGCATAGATTCATTTTTATGCACCGTTTACATGTCATGTGATTGCATATGTGATTCATGTTTTTCCATGACATGCATTCAGGATACTTTGGGACAAATGAAATAATGTGTCGGGCGGAGTGTTATGATTATGGCCCGATGGGATCTTGTCCAGGGTGAAGTGATGTCATTATGGCCCAATGGGATTTTATTTTAGGCAGACTGACATGATTATTGACACAATGTGATCCTGTTCCCTGCAGACGCATGGACAACGCGGTTGTCCCCTGTGGATCACTGCTCCTAGACACCCCAGTGAGGCAGTGCATTTACAAAGTGTTAGGGGCACAATTTGAGATTGGTAGGGTTAACATCACATGCATTTCAGCGTGACTCTTATTTGTACATATCATTTATACATTGTTATGTGCATTTTATAATGTTGTTCGGATGGATTTCCCTTTTAGCAGTTATTTCCTTATCGGTTGAGATTATATGAACTGCACAGGCTAAAGCAGGTATTTTTAAGGCCTGCCATCACCATTACTTTGTTGGTGTCGGTCAATAATACTTGTTGAGTACACATATTATGTACTCACACAACACTTGCTGCACTTTTTGTGCACTTCCTAATATTGGTACTAGTAGAGTTAGGGATCATGTCTAGAGAGCTTGCACTCAGAGAGTCAGCGTGAACTTCTTGGCTGATCCGCAACACTAGACCACCTTCCTGTCTTTACTTTTTTTATCTTTCCAATTCAGACAGTGTACTTGATACTGGAGTCTTATGTATTTCCAATGATGTAGAGCTTTCGACTAATATGGCTAGATTTTGGGGTTGTCTGTATTAGTTTTGTGCTTATGTTATATGAGACATATATATGACTTGCAATCGTTTTCAATTGTTTACATTTTGTCTTTTAATAAAGGGAATTGGCTAAAACTGAAATTGGTTTGCCAACTAGATTGAGAGTAGGTGCCAGCATGGCTTAGGTGATTTTCAGTGTGACATTTTAGCAGAAGAAGTGTTGATAAGCACTTTTTTACCAAGCACGACAACTTATATTCAGTTTCAGCACTGTTATTTAATGCATGTAACTGCTTATCAGAAAACCAGCTCCAGCACTTTAAAAGTGTTTTTCTAGTGTTTAAAAGCTACTTAAATTCAGTTAATTCAAACAGACTGTCAATAATGTGGGGATTGCTATGTTTATTTTTTCTTTTAAAGGGGGGGGGGGGCTTACAAAGTGGGGATCAAATGGGGAATAGGGAATGTTTAGTTATATACTGTGTATAATAAGTGGCAATAAGTCCTACTGAACGGCCCCTTAACATCTTCTTCATCCCATTATGTTTTTAGCTGAAGATTAAATATTTTTTCACGGAAGAAGAATCAAGATATGCAACCATACACATTCAAATTTTCTAGAATCCAGATTCTTTACAAATTGACAAAGTAAAGTAAAAAACAGAGTAAAGGTAGAATAGTGAAAGAAACCAGTTCAGTGCGAGATCAAATAAGAAACACTCAATAGGCAATACACAACAGGATCACATAATTTCCTTGCAAAACTAATTGAGAACTGATCAGGCTAGCACTAGAGTTCAGAGATACAAACTATGACATCCCTCAAAACACCATAATTGAGAATAACATATCTTAAAAGCCATTACCTTTATTGATGACTGATGAAGACAAGGTTCCCCAATGTCCCGAACAATGGAAGTCACTTTCTGTAAATTCACAGTACCCCCTTTCCCACATTTCCATGGCCTTTCAGCTCCGTCAAAAGACATCACGTGTGCGTTTTCACTCTCTCTAACCAAGCTTTACAACTTCTAACTTCTCTGATAAACCAACTAGCATAACTTAATTCACAACTTTAACCCTTACAGTACAGAAAATAACTTGGTGCATCTACAAATAATAATTTATTAAATCAAGAAGCTTAACACAGTTTCTTCTTTAATTTTAATACTGCAACGCAGATATCTCCAAAATGCATATTATAACTTTCAGTAAGCCCCAATTTATTTCAAGTACCCAAGAGAGATCTAATTTCAGATTTAAATATTATAACTCCCAACAGCCATCAATTTACCAAAAGATTAGTTCACAAATTCAAAAAAAAAAAAAAAAACCGTTCTCCGATCAAAAATCCAGACACCACCTTCCCCAAATACCGAATTCAATAAGAAGTAATAAATATTAAATGATTAATATCAAGATACATAACAATAATTTAAGTAACAAAAAGATAAACATATAGAAAATGAGAGCGATTACCTTAGTAAAGAATGAACAAAAATAGAGAGCACTGAAGAATGGAGATCGGTGAAACAACAGATTGGCCATTAACAAAGAGATGCCTATTCTGGTGTGTACTCTTATCGTTCGCCATTTGTTTTTGTTTTTCCTTTTCTTTGAACCAAATTTTGGGGTTGTATTTTATATTATATTTTATTATATAATATAATACTTAATAATAAAATATAAATAAGTAAGGGGTGACAAAATCAAATTCAATTAGTCCAACCCGTCTAATTCATTTAAGTTTAGGCGGGTTATTGATTCATTAGTTCAATTCAGTTCAACTTTTTTTTTTTTTTTTTTTTTTACCGTGGTTTCCGGGCGTCGCTTTGCGAACCCGACTAGCTGTACCCATCGGGTCCCGCTGTTTCAAGGCGGGTCCACCACGGTTAGTTCCAGTTCAACTCATTTCAATTCAACTCACTAAAAATTGGATTGATATATAACTCGAATTGGCTCACGAAAAATCTTGTCAAATATTTTTTTTAAAATATTTGTTTTCAAATTTAATATATTGCATATAGCCATAATAAAGAAACAAATAATTTCAGTAAGTACTAAAATTGTTTAAAAGAACTATGTTACCAAATACAAAAAAAAAATAGTTTAAAAGAACAAATAAAATAATTAAGCTTAGTTGGGTTGGGTCTTAACCGGCAATATAACCTATTGCCTAACCCATTTTGACCAAAGGTGTTTTGACTCAAGCAAATTTGGATTGGGTTGGGTCTTGATCCGATTGTTGTCTTAACCCACTATCACTTGTCTAAATTTAACCCAACTAGCTCAATTGTCACCTCTACTTATAAGTTGTATACATTGCGTCTAGCGATATCAAAATCAAGTCCAACCACCTAATTCGTTCAAGTTTAGGCGGGTCATTTGTTAGCTCAATTCACTTCAGTTTGGTTTAATCCATCTCAGTCCATTAAGAATGTGAATTGATATGTAGCCAAAATTGACTCATGAGATATTTTGTCAAAATATTTTCTTAAAAGATATTTTTTTAGAGGAACTTTCGCATATAGTTGTTGGGATATATACTATTAACCACGTGTTTAGATATAGTATTTATTATAGAATAATTATTTATTTATTTTAATAGATTATATATTCGTTTATGGTGCTTGTTTACTTATATAGTAGATGATTTAGTGTATAGAGTTTAAGCTTATACACAGAGGATTAAATCATCGGTTCTTATAAGTATAAAGTTTTTTTGTTCACAATCTAAGATGGAAATAGGACATGTCATTGGTACAAGATTATATGTAGTTTATCTTGATTATGGGAATGATATAGTTCCAACTTCTTGTGCTAGTGCATTTTGTATGTATTGAACGGGATCGAGTAGAGATAGTTGCTTTAGACTGACTGACTAAAGCAATTCTCTAAACTATTAAATGTACTTATATTCTTAATCCTGATATAACTATTATGATCTGTATATGTTAATCATCGTTTTGATTTATTAAAAGGTGAGATTCTAAGATGGGTCAATATTATTGGTAGATTGGATGATGATAATATATATTGGTGAAATAACAAGTTAGTTGATGGAATCCATGTCTCGATATAGAGATTGATGATATGCCTTTTTGAGAAGCTTAAAAGTTTTCATCGTGTCAAACCTTGCAAGTGGATTTAAGAATCCGACACATGAAATAAGTTAAGCAATGCTCTAAAGGAAATTGATCATTGAATTAAGTTCGACAATAATTTAATTTATTGATTAATATCTGTAATCTTAACATGGGGAATTACATATGTGTCTAATGGGAAATTTCGAAATATAAATAAAGGAGTGCAATTACGAATTTCTAGTGGAATGATTTGTAATTTATTATGGTAAAAATAATTGAAATTAATTATTTGGAATTATTTTCATAATAGGAAGCCTCGGTAATTAATTTTGTGGTCCCTACCGTGCCCATATTTATCTAGAACTCAAAATTTATTGTAAAGGAAAAAAGGAGAAGTATGTGTCTTTCTCTATTCTAAGGAAAGGGAGAAGTATGTATCTTTCTATGTTCTAAGGCAAGGGAGAAGTATATCACTTTTTCTATTCTAAGGAAAGGAAGAAGGACATGACTTTTTCTTTTCTAAGGAAATGGAGATGTACATGTCTTTCTATTTTAAGGAAAGACATGGTATTCCTTTTCCTTGGACTAAGAAGAAATCTCTATAAATAGGGATTCTTCTAACCCTTGAAAAAGATAATTTTTTCCATAAAATACTTGTCCACCCAAGTATTGAGAGGGTTCGGAAGTAAACTTGGGATCACTGTAGAAGACCATAGAACTATGGTCTAGTTTGTGGACTAGCTTATGAATTTTCTTGAAGTTTCTAGCTTGTCGACTAGCTTGTGGATTCACTTGAAGGTATCGGCTCACGCTTCAAGAGGTAATTCTGAAATTAAATTCAGAAAGTTTATATTTCCCTAACATGATTGTACTTGTTCTAGTATAAACAATGTGTTGTCTATTATTCATGTAAGTTGTGTGATTTTGGTATGCTTCCGCTGTGTATATAGTTTTCCAACAATAGTCACTCAAAAATGGCCTAATTATTACACTCTATAGCTATAGTTTGCGAATTACGATTCGTAGCTACATGTTATAGGGAGGAGAGTGGCGAGCGAGATTAGGAGAGGGAGGAGAGAGGCGAGCGAGATAGGGCAGAGAGTGGGAGAGAGGTGAATTATATATGTATATGGTTAGATAATTATATATATACATATGTATTTGTATATTCTGGCGAGCGAGATTGGGAGAGGGAGGAGAGAGGTGAGCGAGATTGGGAGAGGGAGGAGAGAAGCGAGCGAGAGAGGGCAATAATTTGTATAATTCGCATCTCGTTTGTATAATTTGCAGGTACATTTATATAATTCGCGTATTTTTGTATAATTGAGTAATGTAAAAATACATATGAACTTTAAACACTTGTACAAAATATATTATACAAATTACATTATATAAATTATATTACACAAAATCCGAAAACACGTTTATACAAACTTTAAGAAGTTATACACAAAAAGATTAACGTATATGATGACAAAACCAGAAAATCAAAGGAAATCGTCGTCATATACAAATACAAACTATCATATACAAATACAAATCAAACGAAGAATTGTTAGTTGTGAATTATACAAATGTGGCGAATTATACAAATGTGACTAATTATACAAACTCGAAGTCAGCCCACATAATTAATGGTTAATGTTAGTCGCGAGTAGTAATTATAGCAAACTATAGCTATGATGAGCAATTAGTAGTATAAGTTTGTTTATCCGCGTAATTTTCCTTTTTTTAAAATTTGATATATCATATATAGTCATAAATAAATAATAAATTGTTAGGTGTTAAAAATGGATGACTTCAAATATGTACCAAAAATTTATTAGTTTACAAAAAAGTATAGCCACGAAAATAATAAGATGAAACATAGTCAAATTCTCTATTTAGTCACGGTTTACTTTTAATTTTTATTAGCTACATCGTGGCTAAATAACTAACTCTTTTTATTCTTTTAATATAACAGTTAAGTAGTGTATGTGTAATATATCAATGTTGTATGTATGGATATTGTATAATGGTGAATGAATATGTATATATGATGTATAAATAATTATGTATTATATATATATATATATATATATATATATATATATATAATGTATGATATTGTATAAATAGTTATGTATTCATATGTAATGTATCGTTATTGTATAAATAGTTATGTAGTGTATATGCTATGTATCTATATTGTATAAATTGTATATAAATATGTATTAATATCGTATAAATGGTATATAAACATGTATATATAATGTACAAATAATTATGTAGTGTATATGTAATATCGATATTGTATACATGGTAATTGCCCCTGCCAGTACCGGAAGTGATAAAAAAAGTCGGTATAATCGTGTATCGAATTATATAAACGATTAATAATGTATTAATATTTATGTGACTATCATCCATTCTCGCCTTAATAAATAAAATAAACAAAAAATAATAAAACGATATACATATCTATTTTTCCACAAAAAAGTGAAATGATTACAAAATAAAAAGTGCAACAAAAAAGTTTTTGTTTTTCATAGCGTTATTTAGCCATGGTTAAATCGTGGCTAAATAGTGATAAACCGTGCTATATTAATTACATTAAATATGGCTCTTTTATCCGAATTGGGTAAGTTTGTAAAGTTGGACCAGAAAACTGGTAAACAAATGTTATGGATTGTTACCTAGTGTAATTTTCCCGTGTAATTTTTCTTATATATTATAAAAGAACAAATAAAACAATTAAACCTTAATAAGAATTGGCGGATTAAATTATGACAGACATTTTAGCTCGTTTCAGCCCAAGTAGCTTTTGGGCAAGTCAATAACCCGTCCATTTATTCACTCAGCCTAAATGACCCGCCAAGATTCAGTCTACCCCCCCCCCCCCCCCTTTGACAACTCTACTTATATATTGTCACAATCCAAAAATGGACGTGATGACACTTGTCTATTCCAACCAAGTCAAGTCAGCCTCAACCCAACAACAACAAAAGAAATGCGGAAAGATAAAGCAAGAACAAAGATAAAAGCACAAAACTTATTATTTCTATTAATACACCAAATTTGGTTGTTATGTGTATAAGCCACTGGTCTTTTCATAGCCTACAAAATGAAATTAATCCTTAGTATGTCCCCACTTTGAGCTTTAAACCTTTTCGTTGGACAACCACATTTTAGCTTATACCCTTTCTCACTGCTTATACGCACTATCCCTTTTTTGGCCTGACTTTCTTGAATGCGCGGAAGAAGTTCAAGTTACAAAAGAAGATTCAAAGTTTAAATTTGTCAAAACCAAAGGTTACAAAGTCCCTGAAAGTCAAAGATACAAAAATGACTTCAAAGAAAGAAGAAAAAGTTCAAAATTCCCCACAAAGTTCAAGCAAGCAAACTTTCAACAAAAGAAGAACACTCCAAACAAACAGGAGAAACTTCAAAAGATTATGAGAAGGAGAAAAGCTCAAACAAGTAAAACTTCAAAATAAGTCAAAAAGGGCAAAAATCAAGGGACAACAAAGAGGGTCAAACACTAAAAGTGC